TGGTTCAGAGTCATCAAAAACCACAAAACCAAAATTTGGAAGTTTTCCCCCAACACCCTTGGTATTGATGCGAAGTTCCACAACGTTTCCAAAACCTGTGAAAATATACATTACACCGAGGGTTAAATATTTTAAGAGAACATTCAAGTGACTTTCAATGTTCAGAATGAGAACTGTCATGTCTCTGATGGGTCTGAAAATAAAACTGGCAAAGCTGCTATACCTGGTGATGGCACCGTGTATCAGGTGTCATCAGTGCTCAGGTGGGGCCTCACCTCACCCCAACAACTGTGGCAGACAGGTGTCGTCTCCTCTTGATTAGTTTCCATGAGAAAAAACTACTTGTCAAGTTTTAGAAAGTCTTCTAGTTCTAAAGGTAAGATTATTTCCTTCAGCTCTTTCTCATCTCCTGAATGAGACTAAGCAACACTCAACAACCTGGGATGGTAGTACCATCACTTCTTCCCTTCTGACCAATTAAAGGGAGAATGAAAGCAGGTGAGATGCAGTAGAGACGGCAATTTAAAAACTGGGCTTTACTATGAAAAGAAATATCCATTTCTTCCTTTTAAAGGGGCTGTATTTAAATTCAAGACTATCATCTTTAACCGGAGCCTTCAGGTTACAAGTTATGCGAGGTGGAGGAGTTGTTGTACTGAAAACCGTGGAGTCCTGTGGTCCACTTGGACAGGACACCCCCAACCAGTCCAGATTCTCTTGCTCACGGAGGGCAGGTCAGGACCACAAAGGAGAGGACTGAGCCCTGGTGAGCAACTACATTTGTCTGACATGGGGTACACTTATGTTTTAACTTTAACGTCTAATATAAGAGCAAAGTAAAGCACTCACTCATAAAGAATTCTTTCAATTCGTTTTCATCAATATCATGAGGCAAGTTACCAACGAAAAGCTGATGACTGTCCGGGTAACGAATTATTCTCCGGTTATCAGAATCATTCTGCTCCATATCTCCTCTGCCTGAAAGACAGCAGAACGGGACAATGCATAAAAACAGGTAGAAAGCAGTGAATCAATATGCATGCCGGGCACAGTGGTGCAGGCCTTAAATTCCAACACTCAAGAGGCAGAGGCAGGTAAATCTCCGAGTTCCAGGACAGCCAGGGCTGCACAATGGAAAACTGTCTCAAAACAAACAAACAAAATCAATACTCTATTCCTGCTTTGGCTTAATAAAACCAGATGTGCTCCCTGAAGTGTATTTTTAGTAGATAAATAGGCCGGGCAGTGGTGGCGCACGCCTTTAATCCCAGCACTCGGAGGCAGAGCCAGGCAGATCTCTGTGAATTCCAGGGCAGCCTGGTCTCCAAAGCAAATTCCAGGAAAGGTGCAAAGCTACACAGAGAAACCCTGTCTCGAAAAACAAACAAAACCAAAAAAAAAAAAAAAAAAAAAGTAGTAAATATAGCGAAGTGTGGCTATTGACTAGATTGTCAGTCCTTTCTACTACTGATCTGATTAACTAAGAGGATAGTTATTTCTCTCTAATCCAGAACAAAGCAGATTTTCAATCATTCCTACTAAATATCTTAAGTCTTTTAAAACAGGAAACATTTCATCTTTGTATGGTACAATCAAATGGTACAACATTTCCTTTTTTTGGGTCTCTTACCTTCTAAGGTACTGTCAAATATAAGTAATCTTACCTGATTCCCTCAATAACATAGCAATAGTCATACAAGACAGAGATCACACAAGAAAAATTTCACAATACCTAAATGTTAAGAATGAGCAACTAGATTTAAAACTGTCATCCAAGATCATGATAGTCAATGCCAAAGCTAAAACAAGCTCCCAACCGAAACTTTGGAATTCATCACTTACTTTTAATTATAAATTAATTTTTAAATTTGAGGTATAGTGGCATATCCACCTGCATATCCAAAGCACTCTCTCTTTTTAAAAAATTTTATCTTTTCATTTGTTTGATTTTGAAGACAGGGTTTCTCTTTGTAACAGCCCTGGCTGTCCTGGACCTTGCTTTGTAGACCAGGCCTTGTCTTTTCTATGAATACCTGTATTGGTGTTCTGCCTGCATATAAGTAAGTGTGCGCACCACACGCATGCCTAGTACCCAGAGGTCAGAAGAGGGTCAGACCCCAGAGAACTGGAGCTAGACAGTTCTGACCTGACATGTGTGTGCTGGGAAACTGAACCTAAGGCATCTGGAAGAGTAACTCGTATTCCCAAATGCTGAACCATCTCTCCAACCTCCAAAAGCATTCTTAAAATTCTCACACAATTCAAATAACCATACTAGCTACCATATCTCAGCTAACAATGCAAAGTTAAGAAAAATTAGAATTTAAGAGGTTATCAGTGTAAAGTGTTTTTCCTAAAGAGATAAGAAAGAGTATAAGGTGAGCTAGTTACTAACAGTTCAATTTAGAATTCCTGAGGCCAACAACAAAAGCAAATGATAGAACATGACCGATTTTACACCTTCAAAATACATGTCTCCACAGATGCCATCAAACTCACTCTGGAAAGCTGTTAGCCTAGGCTATCTGAGCAGACTACATATAGGGACATGCTGCTGAGATAGATAACCTTACATGCACCTGGGTATGAAACCCAATACAGTTTTTAAAGTTTAGTGTTTTCCAACTGTCCAATAAACCCAAAAGGCCGTCAAGAGCTCAGCATTACCTGGCCTCGGTCCTCGAGGAGGGAAGCCAGGTCGTTCTCGAGGTCGTTGTTCACGCACCCTTGGTGGCTGAGATTGAACTTCTGGCTTAGCGTCAACCCTTGGCTAAAATATAATGGAAAAATTATTAAAATTTTTATATTATAAAGAAATAACTTCTACCGGAGAAAAATCAACCAAAGTAACTATTAGCAAGTCACTAGCAAGGATAATAATATTAAGTTCATGATGTTTTTACATAATTTCCTATATGTGTGAAAATACTTTTTAAAAGATATTCTGTACCAAGCTAGGACTGTAGGGTAGATCTTAATTCTCACTCAACATTGTATAATTTGCACTAAGCTACTTTTGCACAAAACACTCTTTAAAATTAAAATTATACTCACAATGAAACAGCTTAAGTTACTGCTACAAATATCACAAAATGCAAGATGAGCAACTCCATATACATACATAAGACAAAGTTAAAAAGCTTTCTTATAAAGACAAGAATAAAGACACATAATTCCTCAATAAATACCTAGTTTGCTGCCTTCAGACAGACATCAGCAGTGCTCAGTCACATCTCCTAACCCCATCCCATAATCTTGAAACCAGTATTTTAATAGTCTGCACACATAACCCTTTAGAGCATGGTGGCAAGTGCCTATAATCCCAGCACTCAGAAGGCTGAGGCAGGAGGATCTCAAGTTTGAAGTCGTCTTGAAACAGAAGACCACAATCTCAAAAACGTCTCAAAGAAGCCCTTGAGAAAGGGCTGACCAACCACCTTCCTTAATGGGGTAAGACAGAAAGTGACAGGGCTGTTTTGTCCACTATTGACTCAAATACACTGAGGGACCTTGTAAACAACACATCCGTTCATGCTCTCCTTCACTTCACTTCCCTAACACAACAGCATTTCAGTATTCTCAACCCCTGCAGGCTTTCTGCTGCCCAAGGAAAAGACAAAGCTAAATGAATCTTCAAAGGAGACTGAAAACAGTCAACAGAATATGGAGTTAGTGCTTTAATCACTGAGGACCTTGGGCTAAGCAGTACTCAATCTTTCATTAGTTATATAACTGGGATGTTACAGTTTGCAAGGACACATTAAATCTAAAAAAAATTATGGTTCTTCTAAAACTGACCATTTAGACTGCAACCACTGTAACCCTAAGATATATATCAACTGTAACAGCAGTTATTTTAAAAGATTTACCTACTTCTTACAGCCTGGTTTTTTTTTCTGTGTAGACTATATTCTCCTACAAGATGAAATCACATGTCCTAGAATTTGCCTAGTTACAAAATTCATTTTGCTGGGTGTGGTGTCACATTGCAGCACGAGGAGGGGCCAAGTGAATTTCTGAGTTCAAGGCCAGCCAGAGCTATACATAGCGAGAGATTAATTTTCATTTTTGTTACAAAGCTCGTCTAGCTATCTTACTTTGTGTATATGGGATAGGCAATCCTTGAGAGGATTGCATTTTTGCTTTGTTTTTTAAGATTTATTTTTATGGGCATTGGTACTTTGCCTGCATGTCTTGTATATCTGTGTGAGGGTACCAGATCTGAAACTAGAGTTACAGGCAGTTGTGAGCTGCAATGTAGGTGCTGGGACTTGAACCCTTGTCATCCAGAAGGACAGCCAGTGCTCTTAACCACTGAGCCATTTCTTCAGCCCCAGCCCAGTTTGCTCTTAAAGTGGTGATACTACTACCATTACTTCCCTGGCTGCTGGGACTGTAGACGTGTACTACTGAAGAACCAAGCATGGTGCTTGAACAATGTCCAGCAATTACTGGTTCACAATATGCTACACCTGACAATGAGATACCTGCTGCCTGTACTTAAGAGTTCAACAGGACATCAACAACCTAAAATGTAATGCCTCAAAAAAGCCTATCTTTAGAAATATATGCTTACAACCCTGTCTCGAAAACAAATAAACAAACAAACAATAATAAGAAATATATGCTTACTCCACTAAGGGAGTCTCAAAGGGGAACTCAGTACAGTTTGTGTATCAATCAGAAATGAAGAATAGATGTCCTCTACTCAAACTTCAGTGTCTTACTGGATGTAATATATAAAATATATACATTTTACTTACTGGAGTATATATAATAAAAATAGCACATGTGTGCTGGGAATGATGATGGTACAAGCCTTTAATCTCAACATCCAGGAGACAGAGAGGCAAGTGGAATTCTGGTCTACATTGCCAGAGTTCCAGACCAACCAGAGGTACACAGTGAAATCCTTATCTCAAAAGGGGTGGGGGTGTGTAGGCAGTTAAGAGTATTTGCTGCTTTTTCAGAGAACCCAGGTTCAGTTCCCAGCACCCACATAGTTACTAAAAGCCCTCTATTTTCCAGCTTCAGAGTGTGAAGCTCTATTCTGATGTCTCTAGGGACTGCACATCTATGGTGCACAGATAAATGTTCAGGAAAAACCATCTGTATTGATAAAAATAAATCCTTTTCTTTGCATATTTCAAAACATATTACCAAAATAAATTCTCAAAACAAATTAAAATTAAGTTTAAAGGATTTCCCATCTTATAATTTGTAAATGTGACTTTGTAGGCAGAATGCCAGCGCATTGAAGTCGATCAAAAAGCTAAGAATTGTTCCTTGTTCCTTTTAATTATTAAGAAACAAATGCTAGCTAAGGCAGCTCTGTTCTTGTAACTCTTCGTGTCCAATGATTAAAGCTAGCCACTCCTAAGACGAAATGGCTAATATCCTACAGAGTATTAGGGCTTTCCATTTAACTTCATGTAACCAGAAAGTATTAGAGCAAGTCCTACAAATGAATGTCAAACAAAATATAAAACAAAAATGGTCAAATACAGTCAAAAAGTATCAGCACAGCCATACATAAGTCCTTCATTGAACACAAGCTATTTAGAAGAGCTAGTCAGTTTCCAGCAAAACCATCTTACCAAGAACTCCACTTACCTACATCTATCTCAATGCCTATCAATACCCTAAAAGTAGACTTAACTTCCTTTTACCAGATCATCTACTTAAAATAAGAAAATGAATCTATTCAAAAGTAACAAAAGAAGCTGAAGGTTCACTAAACTGAGTGAAAATATCACAAATGTATTCTCCACAGAAGCACAAAGCCATGAGGATATTCTTAAAGCATCCGCTGGATTATTTTTAACCAAGTCTGTGTGTGTGCCTGTGTGCGGTATGTGCACATGTACAGATGCCTACAGAGGCCACAGGCATCAAGTCCCCTGCAAGTGGAGTTCCAGGTAGTTGTAAGCCACCTGACATGGGTGCTGGGAACCTTAACTCAGGTCCCCTAAAAGCAATAACATGCTCTTACCTGCTGAGCAATCTTTCCAGCCCCTTAAAGTTTTAATGTTTGAACATTTCTTATTGGAGTGGGAAATAAAAATAACTTCAAAAGTGACTCAAATGTGAGATACCCAAGAGTCTAGAATCTAGAAAGTTAAGACATACTTTAAATAAAGTACTCTTCTTTTGTGTAAATACAGAGACACATTACCCTCCACAAGGTACTGAAGAAAAACATCCACATGGAAAACCACATATGTGGTTAATGGGTACCTATGTGAATTCAAAAGCTAGCCTATATTTCAGCTGTCCAAACATGGGTGAGTTATGCTAGACCTTAACTTTCCTGTCTCCAAAATGGCAGTTAATACTGCCCTCATGCAGGGTGGTTTGAAGGACTAAGGAAGGATTATCTGTGCACACTTTTAAGCCCAGTACTAGGGAGGTAGAGGCAAGTAGATCTCTGTGAGTTCAAGGCTAGCCAGAACTATACACAGTGAGACCCTGTCCCATCTGAACCCCTAAAAAAGAAAAGGGAATATAATATGCTGAAAATAAAAATGTTTGGAAAGGCAAATGAAAGGATTTGATTTACTAACTTATAAAACTTATAAAAACAAGTGTTGGGCTGTAGCCATGGCTTAGCAGCTAGTTAGGAGCACTGGCTGTTCTTCCAGGTGACCGGGGGTTCCATCCTCAGCACCCACATGGCAGCTCACAACCATCTGTACCTCCAGACCCAATGGAATCAACACCCTCTTCTGGCCTCTGAGGGCACTGCATGCACAAGATGCATAAGTAGGTAAAATACCCAGACACATAAAATAGTTAAAAATAAACCAAGTGTCACCAAATCTCTGAAACAACTCAAGACTCCAACTGGGGAATCTGACAGAAATCAAGATTTCAAAGTCCTGAGTCATTCGTCCCTTCTCCAGGTGGGTTTGAAAAGCACTGATCATCAGGGTGGAATTTTGGCTTGTGATCAAATGTAACCACATTTAAATTTTTAACTGGAAAAAAATAACACAAAGGTATTATGGTACCATGTATTCTATAGATGATTATAATGTGTAGAAACATCACGAGGACAAGATAATCACTACTTCTAAAACCTCAGTGTCTTAATGTTAGATCTAAAGAATGTATACAATAACCATTTTAAATGTACATTTTCTAGGAAAATGAAGCTCAACTCAAAATGTAGGGGAAACTGGGTATTTAAATATGCCAATAAACTTCATTCCAGTTTAATTTAGACTTTCTCTAACAAGCATAAAGAGTGTCCTATTTCCTCAGTTTGAAAGCTCTGAAATGTAAGATGACAAACAGACAAAAAGCAGAATACTGAAATGCTCAGTTACGGTGAACACTACAGTCATAAGTTGGTACAGGCTTCAATTCAACTGTGTGAACCACTTCAGACTGAGTTTAGGCAATGCAAATATACATATATAATATATACATGTAATATATATTATATATATACACACACATCAAATTCTCTATTTCTTCAGAACAATGATTTTTTTTAAAATGTCATTCTATTTTGTGCCTTTCCAAATTTCTTACCTAAAATATTCTTGCTAAGATGTAAACTTTTCAAAAGGAGTATTTTTCTAAAGAAGCCTTTAAAATGACAACAATATATTAATAAAACCAACTTAAATCTGTATCGCACAAACCCAAACCCCAAATACCACCTCTGTAAGATTAATAGAGATTTGGCATTTAAAGTGGGTGCACTGACATTTAATACATTTTTGTATGTTTAATCCATAGTTCTGGTTGACTCGCTTAAAAAATGTATAAAAACTAAGCAATTGGCAAATGTAACAAGGATACAATCCAATGTGTTCACAGATCGTTACCTGTGAGACTGGTGCTTTAACATGGGGTGGAATTCCAGAGGAAGAAACAGTACCACTAGGAGGCAGGTTTTTACTGGTCACTGAAGCCCAGGAGAAAGCCTGCAGGAAATGCAACAAACCTAGACTACTAATCATGGAAAACCACCAACATTCCTACAGGGAAACTTCCAAATATATAATCTGTTTTCATTTCTAATCTGTTCCTTTATATTGACGGACTCCTAAAAGAAAGGCACACACACACATGCCAGTCTGTGTGCCAGCTCTCAAAATCTCATTATGCAAGATACGACTGTTTTGTCTCAACTGCTAAATAAAACCACACCAAGTTCCTGTATAAAGCAAGTGGCAAACAAAACCACTATCAACTAAACATGCTATAAAAACTGGACCAGATAGAACTGACTTCTTTCCCCTTTTGGGGGAGACAGGATGTGTGAGTGATGGTGTTGGGGGAAAGGGGAAGAATAGAAAAGAACAGAGTACTAGTTGGAAACTTAACAGACACTTACAAATTGAACAAGGACTCTTGACTACTCTGCCCAAATATACTTTAACCTTCTACTTCACAGAGATAAGAAGTTTACATGACATACTATGGATGTCACACATCTCTACAAGAGAATTAGTATAGTAAGGAAACGGATCCCATTTAAATCACAAACAGGTATCTCTCACAGATCAACTTCAGGTGGGACATTGCATGACTCCTGGAGCATCAGAAGAGATGAGCAACTGAAAGCCTCATACATGGCCTTGAATAATTTCATGTAAGTCATTCAACACTGCATACAGACAAGAGTAATCTCATGTTATAAATTTCATTCTTAGGAACATTTTTGGGGTGGGAAAAAAAACCATGAAAACTCCCCAAAACAAAAACTCCAGTTTCTTTCATATACATACAAATATAGCTTACTATATCAAATAACAGACCAAACTCATGCTTCATTAATGGCACCAGGTCTGAAAAGGTGAGGCTGCAGGTCTGAAAAGTTCCTCTGACCTCACCTTTGGCGGTTCCTGAGGGAGAGCAGCAGGCTCGGAGGGAGGAGGGGTGGTCGACTTCTCCTCCAGCTCTTCTAGGCTTTTCTCCTCCGCCTGCGGTTTCAGCTCTTCCGTCTTCGTTTCAGACTCTGGCTCAGGTTCAGGGTCATGAGAGGATTCTTCTAAAGGCTCCTCTATGCCATTACTAGAATGAAACATCAAGGTCACCAGGAGATCAAATGAGGTACAACTCCCAACTAACCCAGGTAACGGTTGTCACCTGTTCTATGTTCACGTACATGTGGCGTCAGGGATGAGAGCCAAGTCCTGCCTGCTGAGCAGGCACTAGCAAAACTGCTGTGCCACGGAGACTCACACACTGTCTAATCCCATCTTTCTGTCTGTTATGGTTTTGTTGTTTGTGACAGGATTTCACCTTGTATCCTTGGCTGGCCTCAAACTCAGTGAGATCCACCTACTTCTGCCTCCTCTGAGTGCTGGGATTAAAGGTATGCACTCACATCCAGCCCCATCAATTTTAAAAATGGTTTTATTATTTTGCACGTAAGGGTGTTTTGCTTACATGTGTATCTGTTATCACATACATACACTTCCCTTGGAGACCAGAAGAGGGCATCAGATTCCCATGTCTGGGGTTACAGACTGCCACGTGGGTGCTGGGGACCAGGACTCTTAATGGCTGAGCCATCCCTACAGCCACAAGCCATCATTTTAAATCTAGATTACCTACAATGCTTATTTAAGTGCGACTATAACTCCTGTGCTTGTTTTCTAATTAGTGTGTGAAGGGACAGTGTATGACCATCAGAGGACTTTACGGAGCCACTTATCTCCTTCCAATTTTACCTCAGGAACGAAACTTAGGACACCAGGCCTGCAGGGTAAGCACCTTTACTGACTGAACCACCTCTCTGTCCCCTACACGCCATGTTTCATATAAAAGTTTATAGAAGTAAGTTCAGTGTATTGTCCTAAACAGTCTGTATTATCTGTAGTCAACCACAACTCTAATACAAATCATGTGGAATTTTTGAATTAATCATTTTCAGTATCTTGATATATGTCATAAGTAACCAAATACTGGCTTAAATATGCAGTTTTAACCAAAATGTATTTCCAAGGGCTGAGGCTGTAGTTTGTGGCCAAGTGCATGCATGCACTTAACATGCAAAGGTCTGGGGTTCGATACCAAGCACCAACAAAAAACCATTGACTTCCAACAACAACTTAGGAACAACTCCACTGCAGGCCAGCGCAGATGCAGGCCAGCGACTGCCAGCTAGCCTTACGTCACAGGGTGGGCGTCATAGTAGGTGCTGTTAGCATTCTCTTGCACAGGCTCAGGAGATGGCTGCCTTTCTTCTTGCTCCTCTTCTACTTCATCTTCTGATTCTGACAATACATAATGGACCACATCTTTTTAAGAGGGCTCACATTCTCTCTTACATACTACAGGATGTTTAAGGGTAAGCTAGGAAGTCAGCAGACTTACAAAGCAGTCATTCACTGGACTATTCCCTGTTCCCACAAATAAAGAGAACAAGTCGGACAACATTTAATGACTCTGCTCTATTTTAACAAGAGCTGTTAGTAAAGGAAGGAAAAGCTTGCAAGGAAGCTAAAAACCATGGTTTCTGTTGTCATATCTATTTAAGAGTAGTAATAATAAAAAACCTGCTATTTTTCTCAGTGGAAGATCAATAAATAACTATAGAACTGCCACAGCTTGGACAGGCAACAGACAATAAGGGAAAACAAATGAGAAAGTTCTATGTCACTTAGTTCATTTTGATAAAAGTGCATGGGTCCCAAAACAATTCCAGAACATATACTAAACTCTATGGTACAGCATGCAATCTACGGACATGTCACCTCACAGACTTCCTAGGTTTGACTTTAACATCATGTCATGTACACACATAGAGCCCCTAACAAAAACTAAAGGAGGGTTTGATTCAGCTAAAAGAAAAATGACAAATTCCCCAAAGTTCCATACTTCTAGAAATGCCTGAGTGAAGAATATTGAGAAAATGTTTTCCCTTTAAGGTAAGCTCACCTTCATCAAGTTCTGGTTCAGAATCACCAAACACTTCATCTTCGTAACGAAACATATCATTGTGAACATAAAATTTATTTGGAACAGATCCCTATAAAAAAACAATATGCAATCTCAATTTTAGTACCACAGAAATAATCTGGACTAAATATAATTATTCAAAGCTGAGCATGTTATGATGTTCACACCAATAAAAATAAGAAAAAAAAATCACCAAATGAATATTAGAGAAGTGTGGTGATAAACATGTAATTCTCCATTTGGAAGACAGAGAGAGAACGGCCACAAATTCCAGGCCAGATGAGCTAGAGATTCTGTCAAAAAAAATCATAATAATAATACACACACATGAAAATGTCAAAGCTCAGCACCATGTATATTTTAGTGCTTAAAAATAAGGAATTATTACAATTCAGAAACTCTTCTCATAAACAGAATTCATAAAGTTTTTCCATCTTTTCAAAACCCTTTGAAAATACAATTGAATATTTCTATGATCATGCGGGTTTTTTCTTTTGTCTTATGAGCCCAGGAACCAAATTCAGAGTCTAGCACAAAGTCAAGTGTTCTACCAGTAAGCCACATTCCCCAATCCTCTTTTCTGATCTATCACCCACTTTCACACAAACTTGAAAGCACACCCATACACACAATGTCCAAATAAGCAGTATCAACACACCTGTTAAAATCTCCCAAAGACAGCAGCAAGCAGACTGGAGAGATGGCTCAGTGGTTAAGAACACTGGCTGCTTTTGAAGACCCAGGTTCAATTCCCCAGCACGGTGGCTCACAACTTTCTGGAACTCCACTTTTAGAAATCTGATACCCTTCCCACCTCCTCAGTAACCAGGCACACATCCACATGCACGGAAAACACTCAAACACAGAAGAAACAAAATTAGAAGGCTGGGGAGATGGTTCAGAGGTTAAGGGCACTGGCTCTACCCTTGTAGAGGACCGGGGTTTGAGTCCAAGTAACCCAGGTGGCAACTGTCTGTGTCAGTTCCAGGGCATGCAATGCCCTCTTCTGACCTCCAAGGGCACAGGCACACATGTGGTACAGACAAAGCCACAACACCCATACACATTAAAACAAGTAAAATTCAAAATATCAATTAATTATTTTTTTAGAGATTTATTTATTTATTATGTATACAGTGTTCTGTCTGCATGTGTCCCTGCAGGCCAGAAGAGGGCGCCAGATCTCATTACAAATGGCTGTGAGCCACCATGTGGTTGCTGGGAACTGAACTCAGGACCTTTGAAAGAGCAGCCAGTGAGTACCCTTAACTGCTGAGCCATATCTCCAGCCCTCAATTAATTAATTTTAAAAAATAGCAACAAGCAAATCCAAACTTGTGGGAAGAAACTTTTTAGCATTCTAACAAAGCATTAACAAATAAATCACATAAACAGAAAAGAAACAAAATGAAAACTTACTTCTGGAGCCAGAACAAAGGTCTGCATAAACTTCCTCTCGGGCTGTCCACTGTTAGACAGCAAGCCCATCACCTGTACAACTACACCATCACTC